AAATAATTTTTTTCTCTAATATGGTGTGGATCATAGCACCAATGAGTTCAGATGTAACCATTTCAGAGCAGAGGCCTAGCTCAGTATGTCAGGAAAAAAAAAAGAAAAGAAAAGAAAAAAAACGCACCACAAAGAACATTGAGATGAATGGCTCTATTTTATGAGCCATAAAAGTTTTATTCATCTTGACACTGAAACAGGTTTAGGCAGTGAGTTGACACGCCTTAAATAAATAAGTGGAATTAATTCCCCAGCCCTTGAAACAATAGCAGCATGCATGTAGCACGGAGAAATGCCCCATTGTTTCCCTGTGGCTGCCTGATATTGATATTATTTGTGTTTTTCTGTGCTGCTTCCTCAGGGGCCTGGTTGATCCACTTCAGATTCATCCCCTGTTTTATTAGAGGTTGAAAAAGGTTCAAGACCTGGTTGTACCACAGCTCCCACCGACAGCTAAGGAACCAGTTTGGCGTCTGGTTTGTCTGTTGTTTTACTGCTGACCTTCAAATCAACTTTAACCCCTGACCTCTGGAGGCATCTATCATGACAAGAGGCTGTTTAACACAAATGGTGCCCATTTATAGGGGAAGAGACTCAGAAGATTTCCTTTTTATGAAGAATTTAGTTTTTCACCCCTCTTTTCTCAGTCACCACAGGTGAAATCCCTCTCAGCAGCTGGCTTATGAAATAATGTGAAGGGAGGCCTTAATGAGCAGAACGCACCCTCAGCTGGAGATAAATATATGCAAATGAGATGCACAAACAAAGGAGCCTGGACAGAGAAATATCTGCAATTCCAGCAAAATGCTGCCTGCAGCTCGAAGATGAACAGCTTTGATAAAATGGTAACAAAAAGCACCTTTTTATCCTCCAGCGTGTTTTACATTGCAATAGACCATTGTCATTGCAACCCAGTGGAGCATGCAGAGGTTTCTGCACTGTTTCAGAAAACTGTTTAAACATTTGTTTTAAGGCATTCATGAAATATAATCAATGGACTGCTTCTTTGTTGTTGTTGTGATTTTTTTTTTCATGAGTGTGTTTTAGATGTTACTGTAGTTATTTTACCTGTTGGTCTTTTCGTGGTTTAATGTTGCTGGCTTGCTGTGCTAGTTCATGTTTTGGTGACTGTTTCTTCCACTAGTGAGAATGAATTTTTTTTTTTTTTTTTTTTAACATTTCAATGGAAAGAGATTTCAAGTTAACAACTAGTAAGAATTGGCTTTGAGCAGCACCCAAACAACTAGTTTTAATGATGGCAATCAAGTGTGAGAGCTAATTCAGAGACAGGCATGTTAACATGCTGATTTTAATAAGCTTTAAAAAGGCAATCTCTAACTTTTAAAAGTCTCTTTTTAATTTAATTGTTCTTGGTTCATATGATGCCAAAACAAACAAAACCATTAAAATATGTTTTCAATATGTATCCACGGTGTTATTTGATGATGTTCTAAATTAGCATCATGTTGGTAAAATATTGATTTGATAAGCTTTAAAAATGGAAAAGCTGGAATTATTGACCTAGTTAGAGGAAAAAGCAACATTTTTTCCTAAAAATGAACAAAGCCCCAGCCCCAAGATCTTAAACCAGAGAAAGGTTGGGCTCACGACACACACATTGCTGTGTTTGGGCATATGTATTGTGTTTAAGTGAATTGTCAAAGCAGCTAAGGTGAGAGAAGGAACACTATGCGCTTCACATGTGCCAAAATACTATCACTCTAAAAGCTCAGCAATATTTGGTTCTTTCATTTATAATACAGCCCTAGCATTCCGCAGCAAGAGATGTACAAGGACCTTTACATTTCCTTTACCTAAATTATTTCATCTTGGTAGCTAGGATTGGAGTGGAGACATTCTTCTGAGTACTGTGTAGCTTTCACATTTTATGTGCATTTCATCAGGCAAATGTCAAATTTGCTAATAACAAGAAAATCTCCTCATTTTTAATCATGCCACTCCTGTTGCATGGGGTGGGGTGGGGGGTGGGGGATGGACGCAAGCAGGGGGCGGAGGAGGAAGCATAAAAGCATTGAGCAGTCTGACCAAAGAGAAGAAGGGGAAAAATGCTTATTTGGATTTTTAAATGACACATGCTTGATTATGTCAAGGCCTGTATCAGTGCATCATTAAATTCAGAATTTCAGGAGTTAATAGAAAGTTGGTTATATTAGGGATGCTTTTTCAAGCCCAGGTTCGAAGCAGCATAATTATGTTCAACTGCTGTTGTTTGGAAAGGGCAAACAGCATCTTAGGCACAGAACAATGAAATTACAGCTGAGATTTAGGTTAGCAAAAGCCGTCTTCTCTAGGCTTTTATGATTCATTATTTCCCATTAAATACAGTATTAGAAGTGTACACTAGATAGCTCATGGTTGCTGCTCTCGGAGCACATTATCTATATTACACAGGTCTGGGGAGCAGAATTAGAAAACTTTGGGGGAATGAGCAATATGTGTTTGCTGATAGAAGTACCATATGGCTCATCTTCTTCAATTGCTTTCATTGCGACTCTGATGCTGGAGAAATTAAAGTTTTATTTGATGTGGCACAGCTTAATGAACTGTCTTCTGTTAGGAAAATTGAATATGTTTCCTGTTATTTGAGCACAGAGCCTCCATGGTTTGGCTGATGAGGGATGCATTATGTATTGTTTATTTAGCATTTTGAAAACAAAAGCAAGATATTGAAGGTAAAATTGATTACTGCTGGATTGCATTATATAATCAAGTTTTCTCCCTTTAAATTTCCCTTTACAATCCTTTTGTAATGTTTTAATGTGAGATTGTTCCAGCTTTTTGTTTTTCAAAGGTACACAGAACTTGATTTTATTAAAATACCTTTATTTGTAAACGAACCACATGAAACTGTGAAGCCAGTATTGCTACATTTATAAAGTTCTAAGAACGATGTTTGGAAAAAAAGAAAATAATTCAATTTGAATGAACCTAATTGCGAAACTTCTAGTGAATCCCCAGTCAGTTCTGAGAGAATCTAATGTTTGGCTAGTTGAAAGGGGGATGTCATTTTCTTTTGTTTGAAATAGACACTTAAGAACATGCTGGGGTGGGGCCATAAGAGAAGGAAGACACTTTTAATATTCGGAAATACAAACCTAAAAATATCGTTTTAAATTTTTGAGTTAGTCGTCAGTGAATAAGAAGCTGTATTCGACCTGCAGATTAAAGAAAATAAAGTGTAGATCAGAGGAATTTACATTTTTAGTGAATAAATAGGATTACAATATGCTTACACGCTGAGAAGGCTGGGATGTTAACCCTGTGAATATTCTCTACTCCCTGAAGAATCTATAAGAGAATATATTTAAAATTTTGTTTAATTTCCTTGTTTTTGTTCTGGTTTTGATTGTGTTTGAAAAATAAGAAATCTGAATAATCTCTAAAAAGACTGAATGTAAAATCATCTTCTAATCACTGCATTTCTTTCTTTCATTTTTCAGTGAGAAATATTCCCCACGTGTACTGATGCCTCAGACACACCAATCCGCAACAAGCAACTAGGATAGAAAATAGTTAAAAGTGAATCAACATTTATCTGGAATATGCAATCCTGACCCCCTTACGCACCCCCTCTCCCCCCCAACACACACACAAAGTCATTTGTCTTCTGTGTCCTGTGATGTTTTGAGGATTCTGGCAAATATGGCAGTTAAACAAACTTCTAGCACAATCTAAATACAGTCTGTTCAAGAGAGGCTTCCAATGTTTATAGTCCAGAAGTAAAGAAAAAAAAAATCTGGTTTTTAACCAAGAATAGTGCTCTTGAAAATGTCTCCGAACAAAGTGTTTAAGTAAAACTTTGGCCATAGATATTCTCCATTCCTCATTCTTTGCTGATTTTTTTTTTTCCAGTGAGGACTTTTCATATGCCATCATTTTGCTTCTTCTTCTTCTTCTTGTTTTTTTTGGTTTTTTTTTTTTTGAAATTAACAAACTAATTTTAAAAATTAACGCCTGACTGGGGACCTAGTCCTACAAACTTCCTTTAGATACAGTTGAGAAGAAAACATCACATTTTTATGAAGCCCCTCTCCTGACAGGGGACTGGAGGAGGAACACCATTATGCATTGTTATCAGCGTGGTGTAATTTGACTGTTGACAAAGTATCCGTGGCAGTGCGAATGAGCGCAGTTAGAAGTGTGGCGGATTGTAATCAAGAAGATGCTTAGCTGTGCAACACTGCATCTTGAGCAGATTTGAATCAACATTGCCTTAAGGGGACACACACACATACCAAAAGAAAAAAAATCCATTAATTTTTAGAGGGAAAATTAGAGTGGCACTTGATGAAGTGAAATTTGACATGCGTTAATTGGTGTGCAGCTCTCCTAATTAGAGATTTTCAAATTCTTTTACTGCTGTCACCGTGATGGCACATTGTCTTGCTGGACAAATACTAAAATTGCAAATTGGTTTGATCAGAAAGTTTTACATATGAAGATAAGACTGTATCCTCTAGTCCACTTCCAAAAGGTGGACAGCTGGAGAGCAAAGATGACTTTCAGCTTTACCTTCACCCCAGATAAAAAAGGAGTATTAAAATAGTTTCATTATGAGACTTAATGTGAAGGAAGCAGGTACCAATACAATTTTCTTAAACAGATGCAAACATTCCTTTGATACTCATGCTTCTGCTTCATATGAAATATTTCAGGTAGAAAAAGAAAGCCAGTGAAATGCTACATTATATATATACATTCTCATATTTCTACTTACATTCTTTGGAAATTGGAGTTAGGTGGATTTTTTGAAAGCTCACGTCACATTTTTCCCTGGTCTGAGATCTAAGGCACTCCAGTTCCCCTTCTTGTCTTAAAGTAATTATACTGATGTTTGGCCCCCAGGATGGCACCAAATATGATACTACAATAATTTTGGTTTCCTTTTTCCAACTCCTCTTGTCTAGCCCTTGAACCTCTCTTAATTCATTAACATATTGAATTTTTTCAATTTTCCATTTTCTTACAATAACAATATTAATGCCGGGGTGAAAGCTTGATTGGAGCTAAATTACTTGTTACCTGCTGGCATTTATTTATATGGCATTGAATTATAAAGCTTTGCTATTGTCATGCCTTGGGCGAATTGTTTATGACACCAGTAATAGGAGTAATTGTTATTGTTGAAATTACCTGTCAGCTACCCATAGCAGTGGCCCTTGTCCCACTGACAAATAGTGACAAGGGAGAGGTATCCTCCATGCGTCCCCCTGATGGCTTCTCCTCTGATAATAAGAAGTGCAGGGCCTCTGATAATTTGCCTGTCACTGTTGAGTGCAGCTCAGAGAGAGTTGGCCAAATTGTTGTCATTCACTTTGACAAAGACAGCAAAATGCTCCCGTGCAAGAGGAGGATTATCAAAATAAATGAAATCGCTTACACCCCCCTTTGTTTGTTTGGCTCAAGAATTGCCTGGCTTTGTATGAGGTTGTGAAATCAAGGTCCAGTTCTTATCGATGTGCCTCTGTTCATTCTAAGATGAGGATCCCAGGAAAGGAAAGGCACCTTAGGAGACTCACCAGTTTGCAGTTTGCATTGGCTAGTAAAAAATTATATCCAAATGTAAAGGGAAAGTCAATAAAATTGTAATGAGTCTAATAGGTCATTAAATACATTAATTTAAAACACATCTAAAATTTACACCTTTTGTTTCCTGGTTTCCATTTGTCCCTCTGATTCTTTTTTGGCCCACACAGACATTCAAATTCAACAAGCATTCAAAAATGCACAGGTTTCTTCTTTGCAATCAAGTTTTCTTTAGAAGTTTAGAAATCTCCATCTCTGACTCTTACAGCTTTAAAAGATTATCTAGTTGGATTTAGGATTATTATTTCAAATGGTTGGTTCCTTTCCATAAATTACCTTTTATTTATATACTATCTTCATGAGTAAAAAGATAAATGAAACATAGTTCCAGGTATGAAGCATCAATTATCACAGGCTTACAGAGGAAGCAAAATGGGCCTGTTATTGCCAGAGTGCAAATATTAATATAAACCTTTGCATTTTAAAATCCCTTGGTTGCAGCCCGTGAACCTGTCATAGAGGGGGAAAGGGACAGGGAGCAGCAGGGATGGTGTGGGGGAGTGTCCCTGTCTGAAAGAAAGGGACTTGAAACAAATCAAACCTTTGCTCTTGTAAAAACCAGAATCATTCCCACCTTTCCACAAAAGCCATCATTTCATGGTAGGAATATTCTTATTTTTAAGGTGCCTGGGAGGCTACTACTCATAGATCTTCTTGACAAATACTTCCTCTTATAAGAACTTGAAAAGAAAAGGAAAAAATAACTAGGATAAATGTAAAATATTGGCTCCGTATAGGATAGTAATCAGCTGTTTATTGGTCTCTACTAGACAAGTAATGACCAACCACAGTGTTAAGTACCAGCAACATTGCCTTGGGCCCTTGCCTCCTAACACCAGCCATTATCTGATTAGAGAACCTCCAAAGAAGTCACTATTGCATAATTTTATGGGTCTTAACAGTGCAGGTTGGCTGGCAGAAAAACTACCTAGGAGGGTTGATAAAGCAACAGTGAAACATGATTTTATTTACTTCACTTACACCTTGGTCTCTGAAAGAGTACCTGAGTATCTCACATACTGGTGGCTGCACAGGAAACCTAAAATCAATCCAAATAGGAATTGCATGGGACATGGGGGAGGTGGAGCGGGGAGACAGGAAAAGTAAAATCATCTGTCTCTTGAAGCTTTTCATGAACTGCACAGTTTGAAGTAATGAACAACATTGTTATAGGCATCTAGATCCTTTCTTAGGTGTTATGTATTTAAAGCAGGTAAATCGGGTTTTAGCAGTGCTAAAACCATACATGTAATATGATTATAGGAATAAAATGTGTTTCTAATCCTTAATAATAATGTATTCTTCTAAAGGCAACCACTCCATGGTTAACTATGTTGAATGTCCCTGATTAACAAGTGGAAGGCAGTGACATAATTAAGAGATTATCTGTAGTAATAAAAATGCCCAAACCTGTCTTGGAATGTGATCCCTTTAACAGATAATTTTTAAGAATGCATGTCCTTGCTTTCTCTGTGGAGACGCACGTTAGTGATCCCAGGAGGGGAAATAAACATACGTTTTTAAATGAAGATATTTAAAATGTACCCCATATTTCAGCATGTTGCTATAACCTGGTCTTTTTTATGTTCCTCCTATAAAACCTAAATTAAGCCTCTTAGGAGTGGTTTTGCTGCAGGTTTCGACTAAAAACACAATACATTTTAAATGGTTCCAGTACTTGAGTGCACTTTAACATGTAATCACTAATGTGCATTCTCTTCCTCTCTCTTCCAAGCACCAGTCCTTCTAAAAGGATGAGACTTCTTTAAAATTTAGCTTCATTTGAAATGTAAACTTTTAACAAATAGTAATTGCTTCTCTAGCTCTATTGATGAAGTGACTGGCAGCAAATCTTTTCTTTCTTTTTTATCCCCCCTCTCTCTGTAACATTTTGAAATACCCATCAGTGTCAAAGGAAACTGCACACGCCTCCTTTGGTGCTCTAAATAAGGCTCAGCAATGTTAAGAAAAATGTCAGAAAAAGCTCAGTGGATTAAAGGAACATTTCTGCACCATGTCAAGGAGGATGGCAGGGCAGACTGGTCTGCATAATTTTGAAAGATATTTTTTGTAAAACGCTAACTCTTAGAAACCAAATGAAATTTTATTTGGAAAGATTGGATATTGTATTTGATAACATACAACCTTCGGTTGTTTTTCTAAATCTTGTTATTTTTTAAATATGTCTCTGGTATGTATTCTTTAAATTAGAACTATAATACACTCATCTTTTGGTAGAATGTTCCTGTACCTGGGTGCAGCGTTAAAATACATTTCAGACTCTTTCATGCGTTTTTCTTTTCTTTCTAAAATTCTTGGAATGTTCACTCAGCGAAAGCAGTGAAAATGCTCGGCTCTTCCACATGCAAATTATTTGAACTAGTCAGTCCTTCTTCCCCTTAAATAAAATGTGTATATAGCTTTGGAGATTTTCAAAAAATAAATCATTTACATGCATTTGTGAATTAAAAATAAATTACTGGTATGAGGTTTTTAGTTTGTTTTGTTCTATTTTACTGAAGAATATGCAATAGTCACAAAATAGTACAACGACAGTAAAATATTCCACAGTATTGTAACTATGTAATTAAAACAACGTCAAAAAAAAATTAAAACAACATATTACAAATTTAATACTAGATACCACCAGAAATGGCAAGATTAGTTTTACAGAAACAAGGTAAGTGTCAGCTGATTTTAAATATAAACTTTTCCAAAACAGGTTAAGAATGAATTTAGACAAATTTGACTCTTAACCTTTAAAGATTTCCTGCCCATTTCTGTATGTCCTTTATTACATTAATTTTTTATTTAAATTACACCATTAACTGGATATGAATTTATCAAGAATACATGTATTGATTTATAAAACAGTACCATTAATTATTATAATAGCTAGATGTAGCTGATATTACAAAGCCATTTAAAGGTTTTTAATATAACTTGGACATACATAGATAGATAGACATTATGGACAAGACTACAATTTAAACTGGCTACCAGCAGTTAATGAAATCCTTGATTTATATTCTAGTTTAGAGATTGATTATATTGTTGCTTTGTAAAACTATTTATATTATGCCATTATTCAAAGGATGTCTCAATAAAAAAGCTAAATAAAATATTCAGTCAATTCCCAAAGCAGATTTTGTTTTCTATATTTTAAATGCTGGTGAAAATAATTGATTGTGTGTGTTCCAAGCTTTGTCATTTCCATTCCAGAGGTGGCTTTCCTGATGGGAGCCTCGTTTGCATATGCACACTTTCGCACACTTTTGATCCTTGCGGAAACAAACCCCTTGTCTTTATTTCATTATGCCTCCCACCCCCGGTAACAAACCCATGTATATTTCACAGACCCCGAATATCAGGACACATAAGTCTTTCTGGCATCTTTTATGTTATGCATTTTTTTTCTTAAGGTTGTGGAAAACTGGGACTTACCCCAAAGCCGCAAAGCAGGCAATCACGAAGAGTATTTGGGTAAGAATGCAATCTGAAGAGGAAAAGAAGAAAAATGAGGAAGAATATCAGCAAATAACAGTAACACTTTCAAATTACTTTTCAAATGGTAATTAGCCAGCAAATAGATTGAAAGTTAAATTCTTTTCACATTGTACTTGGTTTGGGTCTCCCAGTCTCTTTATTTATATCACTTTTCCTTGCCTGGCAACATATGTTACCGATTTATTATAGTATTTTTACTGTTAGCAGACAAATCTAAAGGCTAGCTGAGAAGGCTAGCTTCATCTGATGACTTTAACAACAACTGCAGGGCATCCTTGAGGGTGAGCCAATAGGCTCTTTTGAAGCTATAATACTATTAACCATTTTGATGCTGAAATACTTCTCATAGCCAAAATTGGTTCTGTTTTTTCACGGGCACTCCAGGTTCTACACATAAGAAAGTTAATGTAAATGATTTGTTTTGTAAATATTTCAATAGCCTTCTAAGCACTTTCTTCCATGTGTCTTAAGTTCCCTAAAAGCCATCGGTTTCTTTATTTCCCCTTCTTTTACAGACACTGAAATCTGTGGCACACATTCATAAGTAAACAGCTATCAAGCATCAGGTTAAGTTGTCACGTCCCTCTCCCCCATGCCATTAATTCTCTGCTATGCTATTAAAAGAAACAAACATCCTTTAGAATTTAAATGATCACGTTTCTCTGCTATATGTACAGCCTAGAAAAGTAAACTTCAAGCAAGATTCTTCTTGGCTAAGAATCTGAAATTACTTTCCAAATTAGAGACACCATTAAAATCAAGACCGTTTTAACAGATATGGGACCCTAGCTAAAGGTTTACCCCTTTTAACATGCCCACGTGAAAACATCTGTTTTAGAATTTTATTTATTGACTAAAATATTGATTTTAAAGGTAACAAACTTCCATTTTTATGATTTCTAATGTATGTCAATCCAAATTATCTTGTCATTTTAATTTAAAATTTTTAGCCACAATTTCTCAATTTAAATGTCTACGTGGGATTCATTTACAATTTCAGATAGATTTCATAAAACCTCCTTTGAGCATTCATGACTTGAAGATTTAGAAATTAAATCCCAATTACTGGAAGACAGTATTTCTTGTCTAAAGGGTCTGGCTCAGCAACTAAAATTTAACGTAATTTCGATATTGGAATTCAACCAATAAAAACCAGACATTCAATGCAGTACTGGGGGTTCTGACTGTCAAAAATGTCCATTTTGAGGACCTGAAATACATTCTGGACCCCTGGGATCCAGAAGGTACTAAGAGACCATTCAATATGTCCATCCAAACATACCTAACATGAGAGATTCTGTCTACAAATCATAACAATCCCGCAGCTCTCCAACATATTTCAGAATACACAATCATACCTGGTTTTAAGACATTTACATACAAAATTTGACTTCAAAACAGGTGGTGAAATAACTACATCCATGCATTCATCTGATTCTAATTTGTATGGAAAGTTATCAGATCTTTATCATTTATACTTCAATACACTTTAACCACTCTTATTTTAGTATTTATGACAATGGCCCCACCCACTGCACCCAAATAATAATAATAATAATGAGTAAATGTTATATTCAGAAACATATAGTTGTATAGTTTCATCGTAGTCTAAATTATGGTACTATTTAAGTTGGCCGATAGTTTATATCTGTTATCAGATACTTACAATGTGTATTTCTTTTTTGTCCCAGCGTGGCATTGTATGGTGACTGTGGGTAATTTTAGGTCAGAAGTAATTATGATCAAAAGGATTTCAGCTTCAGAAAATGAGGCCAACTTTTTGAAGGCATAAATGCACTCCATTCCAAAAGTGATTATATGTCGGGTTATGAATTCCCAAGTGACTCAGTGCTAGTCCCGTCATTCTAAATGCCCTAATTAAGACAAGTTAGTTTTTAAATATTATTCTTCGAGAGAGATGGAGACAATAAGGTTGGAGAGCCAAGAGTTTTCTTTGTCCTCAAAAACGTATGTTTTTGAACCAAAATCGAATCTCTAGCAGAGTTTGATCCGCCCGCATATTTAGAAGCCTGCCAACTGTGTACACAGGGCTCTGTGCTTTTCTACAACAGGTCCTCTTCTCTGATAACCAGCCGGCAGCGCTCTTAATAGAGATGCCTTCCCACCCTCCTCTACCTACCACATTCTCTCTCTCTCTCCTCTCTCTTTCACCTTAAAACAGGTGTCGTTTTAATACCTGAGTCTAAAGATACAGGTTTCTCCAGCTTCTGGCTCCAACTCTGTCATGATCATTTTTAATAATTGATATGGCCCCTTCTCAAAACCACTCAGAGTCTTAGCTGGAATCCCCACTCTGCCCAACCTCAACTCTTCCCCGAACCCCATGGGCCACCCCCCGGCTTTCTGTTTTGTTCATCACCTTGGTTTCTTACCCCCCCAGCCCCATTTCTGACCTGCTCTTTTTCTGGATCAGACGCAGGCAGGTTGAGAGGTAATGAGAACCAGATGGACATAGTGCAGAAATTGCCCAAATGGGTATGAGAATGTGGGGAGCTGTCAGGCATGGAGAGAAGCTGGAATTTTTCAGCAATAAAATGGGATTTATCGCCACTCTACCACAGTCATTGCCGACAACCGTTTACCTTGACAGAAACCCCATTCCAATAGGCCACGCCGATGCAGATTCTTTTTTCCCAAAGAGTGATGATTGGTATTTGTTCTAAGGCTCAAATGGCCTGCACTAAAGGTGAAGCATTAGGCCAAAGTCCTGTATTCCCCACTGAGGCAAATGAACCTGCTAAAATAAGTTCCTTCCACAATGGCTGTGTAATTGAAACCAGAAAGTGAGAGAATTTGATAAATTGCTTGACCCTGAAGGAATGTTAAGGTCATAAATTTTCATTGCATTTTTTTCTCTCCTTTTTTTATATTTTCATATATTGATTATATTTAGTATCTGCCTCAAAATTCAACAAGCTTACAGATCATCGGATGTGGTCCCAAGGGAAAGCACAGTAAATCATCAATTAAGAGGGCATGGAGCATTCTCCCCTCATCTTCCAAAGAGAAATGCCAGCTCCTTGGTAGTCCAAGGACAGTTATGGAGGTGTCTCACATCTCAGAATTATTCAATTTAGCACACAATTTGTCCTGGCGTGGACAAAGTAAAATCTACAGAAAAGATGTTTTTCAGAAGGGCGCTGCTATACTTCTATCATTTAAGAATGATGAACTGTTAAGAAACTGGCAATCCATTTGCAGGAATCACACCCACATACCTTTTCTCACGGTAACCTAAAAATAAGAAAGATTGTATTTTAGCTACAAAGGGCGATCCCCGTTTTTAGGTAAGTTGAAAGTGTGCCTGTGTTTGCGAGCGTGAGCACCCGTGCTTCTGAATGCTGGTTTTGGCAAGTTCACTTTGAAATTATTCAAACTTTTTCTTTTTTGAAATGTGGATTGTCTTAATGTGGTAATAAAGCACAGGTCATAAAAACAGCCCAAGTCACATATTACACAATGTAAAATGGACTCAAATATGAAAGTCATCACATAGTAGAAAATTTCTACACATCTTGCTGGAAGGTTTTACTTGTTTTTCTAAAAAATGAATGAACTGAGCTTGCCAGCATTTTAATTTAGCTGTATTCTCTACTGATCACTTATGGTGCTTTATTATGAAGACATATATTCTCTCAATTATAAGCAGGTTAAATAATATCCTGATAGCCAAAATGTCTTGTCCTTGACAATTTTAAAGGACAACATATCTCCTTTGTATTTGTGTGCTAGGTTTGTTAGAACCATTAAAGAAATAAAATCAGAAGTATTTTATCACTAATACATCAGTTTTATGTTCAGGATTTTCAGAATTCCAGAGGCCCAAAATGAGATACAGGGTGGAGTTCCTCATTTACCATTAGGAAAAGTTCTCTAAATTAAGAAAGTTTCCTGTTGATTTATTTTCAATGACTACTTATCAGCTTAGAATTTGAAACCAATGCTAGCTTTGGGATGCATAGGTATTAAATAAACCCATGAGGTTTTCCTCAAAACCCTCTGAATTGTGTAAGAAAAAGATCATTGATGTTGCTTTCCACAAAGCATTATCAGGAGGGATGAGGTTAAATAATGTCTAGTTTTATATCTCACTTTCTTTCGTTCACAAGTAATTAATGACAGTGTTTATTAAAGGTATTTCTATCTCAAAGTAATTTTTTTGTCAAGTAAAGAAGAAGGAAAGAAGGCCCATGAAAGAAATAAATCTCAAATTTTTGTTATTTGTGAATACAAAGTCAGAATTTTTGAGTAATATGAAGTAGTAAGAAGTGCCAGGGCTGTTAGAAACCATGGAATCTAGCACCAGAGTACAGAACAAGATGATAATTTTCATATGTTATTGCTTATGTGCACATGAATATCCTAATAAGATTTCAACAGCAACATGTCTTCATCTTATAGAAAGGAGATCATGATATACATATGATCAGCCTTTAACCCAGTGTCTTTTTCTAGGGTTAAAATGTGGCTTCCTTCCTCTGCCCTCAATAATTTTGCCACAAGCCTGTTTCAAACAAACAAAAAATAAATATATGCATATGCATATATATACATACATAAGTATAAATAAAATATGAACAGAAAATGGATTCAATCACTAATATTTTTGCAAACTAATGTCCAGCTGATGCAACTCAATTTTATTTTGCATCACATTAGTGTCATAATGGTAATGACTAGCCTTTATTCACTAACAGTTTGAGTCAGCACTTTGAGACATTTTCAAATTAGGTCATACTGCACATTCGTGGCTGATACAAAGGTTGATTAAGAGACCTGCACAATTGTAAAGTGATGTGGTGTGAGTTGAATTAAGTTCTCTCTGATAGTTACGGGAAATGTGAGCCACTATAAGCAGAAATAATGTATGGGCTATAGGGGGAGAATATATTTCCACAGAGTGCTTGAAGTAATACTCATTTACAATTTAACAAAGTCCTCTGTCTGTTATGGAAGAATTCTATCACGGGACCTGAAAACAAGCAATGCATTACAAAAAGGACACTGGAGGCCTGGTCTCCAGTTCTGTTTCGGTGAAAGTCAGTTTTTGCCTTTATGTCCCTTTTGACCTTCTCAATAAAGACCTTTTTTCCCGCCTCTAGACACTGTCTGCTGCTTTTCTGAAAACGATCCTGTGTCACAACCAGACCATTTGCCCATAATGTAACAATTCTGAGGCAAGGCTAAATTGCTGTGCCAGTGAGACCTGGAAGAAGGGGGAAGAAAA